TTGTTATGTGCGACTTCTATTCCACACTCGGATATACACTGGGAGGGTGGACAGCAATCTTGAGTATTGTAATGGACACTTACTACTCAATGGAAAGTCTGTATGCCACTCCAACAAGCACTCATTGTCCCTCTAAAAGTCCACAGTGTCCCCAAATCGTGATCCCTTCCATACCTGCTAAAACACAACCAAACTTCAAATCTCTCTTTGTTTCCTGCTCTTAGTTGATATCAAGAGAAAAGAGAAAACACCAGAAGGGGGCTGTCCCTCATTTTTCCATAGCAAATTTGCACCTGTCCTCTTTTCCCCATTATTGAAAAGGACCCAGTCTCTTTCAAAAGCCAACTAGTTTCTTAGCCAGGTGTAGTGGTGAGTGTCTATAATGCCAGCACGTAGGGAATGAGGTAGGAGGATCAGTGAGGAGTTCAAGACCAACTTGGACTACATGACACCCTGTTGCAATTGTGTGTGTGTGTGTGTGTGTGTGTGTGTGTGTGTGTGTATCCTCCATCTCTGCTCGCTTTTTCAAGAATATCATTACCAAAACTCTGTCTCAGAAAACAAAACAAAACAAAATAAAGAATAGCATTACCCCATTCTCCACGTAGAAAGTGGCATGTATGAACACAGGTTTTTTTTTTTTTTTCCTTTCTGGGTGGGCACGTTACCAACTGAACCATCTCCTCAGGCCCATCCACAGTTTTCCTCGTGTCTTTATACGATTTTCCTTTGTTATGACATCATTTCCAGCCCATCAAACATGCTCTAATATCTTTATTCAAGAGGATAACAACATTTGCCTTGTCTTTCTAAACTCTTGGCTCAGTCAAGCTGCTCAACACAACAACCCCTAAGCATGCATCTTTTCTCGGCATGCTACAGAAACTGCTCTGTGAGATTGGGCATGGCAGTGAGTGCCTTTGAGATTGGGCACCGCAGTGGGTGCCTGTGACAGAGTCCAGTGCTTGGGACACAGAGGGAAGAGGATCTCTGGCAACACAAGGCAAACTTGGACTGCGCGGTGAGTTTGATAAAAGCCTGTACTATAGAGTGAGACTTTATTTGGAAGGGAGGGGAGGCAGTAAGTTCTGTTACATTTTCAGCCTCTATTTTATTTGATTAGCCTCTAGCATTTGGCAAAAGGAGACGTTCCTGCTCCATATCTGGTCTCCACTGACTTCCCTGACCACACTCTTGATGTTTTTTGCCGGCTCTTGAGAGTTTCTTTTTGGTTATCTTCAGCCTCCCCCTTTCCTCCTTTCCTCTGATAGCAGAAGTTACTCAGAGTGAATTTTGTACCCTACCTGCATGTTCTTATGACCTGGATTCTGATAACATTTGCACTTAGAATGCCTACTAACCCGCATGTAATTCTTTTTAAGAATTGTGTACATGCTGGAGGTGTGTGCACAGGTGAGTGTGCAGCATGCACAAGGTGTGTGTGTGTGTGTGTGTGTGTGTGTGTGTGTGTGTGTGGGTCCAAGCCCATGCACACAAAGATGACGGTCAGAGGAGACATCAGGTGTCCATCACTCAACAGAGGGGGCCCCTCACTGAGCCTGGAGCCAGGCCTGCAGGCAGGACACATCAGGGATCATCCCCCAGCCCTGAGTTATAGGCACAGCTGGGCTTTTTACGCTGAGGATTTGAAGTCAGGCCCTCATGCTTGCCAAGCAAGTGCTTTTCCCTGCTAAGCCACATCCTCAGCCCTAAACATACATTTTAAACCATTCTGACCTCCAGAATCCCGGATCTGTGAACTTCATTTCTGCACTGCAATGTATTTTAGATGCTTCAAAAGACATCAAAGCCCATCCATCTCTGACCACAAACTCTCCTCTCCCTGGGGGCTCTTTGTTATTTGTCCCTTTTCACCTAGCTCTTCATCTCTTTACCTGGCTTCAATGCCACATTTGGAAGGTCCTTCTTTAGCTCTTTTGATTATGTTATACTTTCTTACAGCATCCTGTGCTGTCCTTCGGAGCACGACCATTTAAAAATCACATTTGTATTTGTTGTGACTTCTCCCTATTGCTGCATTACAAGCATTCACATTTTCTGCCTTTTCATGATTGGTTTCCTCTCTTCTTCCCCTGGCCAATGAGATACTTGAAGCTCAATAAGCCAGTCTACTCAATATAAGCTCCAGGAGACCATGGACAGTCTTTGCCTTCCTTACTTGTTTGAAAATAAGCCCCACATTGCAATGTTCTCACATACAGCTTGTCCTTGAGATACTGTGAAATGATCTCTAAAGTTTAAGGGCTCATGTTTTATGGAAATATAACTTTGAGATCTCTTAAACATACTTAATTTATCCTTAAAGAAGATGACGTACAGATGATCACCATTGTATTACATTTATTATTTGATGTGTGTGGCGGAGGTGGCCGTATGCGCCATTGTATATGATAAGGTATGGGAACAACTTGCAGAAGTTGGGTCCTAAGGTGAGGTCTTGGGGTTTTAGACTTGAGGGCAAGCACCTTTATGTATGTTGCCACTTCGACAGTCTTTCTCCACACCTTCGAAAACTTCAGAGCAGAATAAAATGGCCATAGTGGTACATAACTGTTGCCAGCACTTGAGAAGCTGAGCCTGTGAGTCACAAGTTCTAGACCACCCTGGCCTGCAAAGGATTGGAGGTCAGCCTGTATACTAAATAAGACTGTACTGTCGCACACACACACCACATCCCCCCAAAACCAGGGCAAATGAGGAATGACAGCCTGTTTTTCTCCCTGTTGAGTTGCCTACTGGGGCCTGTTTCCTATTTTCAGTGTCCTACTGGGTTCTTTAAACTCATTTATGCATTTGGCGGTTTCCGTTTTTTTTTTTTTTTTTTTTTTTTTTTTTTTTTTTGAGATCCTTAGCTCCACGACGGAGACCACAGGGATGTTGAGGAGCTCCAGTACTCTAAGACCAGCAACTTGCAAGACTAGCAAACAGCCTCATCCCTTTTCCCAGCCCTGCCCCCCTCACCCGTTTTTCCCCCTCCCCTTCATCCCCAGCAGTCTTCGTGGGTGCCTGAGGAGGGCGGAGGGGGGCGGAAGAGGGGAGCAACACCTAGAGCTCGGCCCAAACCCTTTTCCCCACCCGCTCTCCCGGGCAACTCCAGCTTTGCAACTACGCTGGAAACGCATTTTCTTATCCAAAGGAAATCACGTCTTCAGCTGCGAAGTAGGGACCGCAGGAGGACAGCCCGCCTGTTTACACTGGTGGGCAGGCTCCCGCGCTGCTGCGGGGACCGATTGGCTCCCTCCCCCCTGACGCTCTACGGCCCCGCCCCGTCGTGGCCATCTGCTCGGCGTGGGTCCTGGGGTCTCCTCCAGCCCCACTCCCTCCCTCCGCCCCTCCCCTCGAGCGCATCCCCGCCCCCACCCCGCCGGGCTCCGCCCCTTTCCCCTCCCGGCGCCCCGGGCTCCGAATCTTCCCCGCGGTTGCCTGGGAGACGAGCCGATACCAGGCAAATAGGCATGGGAGAAAGAAAAGGGGGGAAAACTGCACGGCAGCCTGTTAACAAAGGAGCCATAAAAGCAGCCCCCGAATGTCTGGGAGAAAATCCGAAAGCGAACTAGCAATCACCCCTATTTAAAACCGGAGAGGGACTCAGAGGAAGGGCCAAGGTTCCCGTGGGGGTGGGTGGACAGATTGCCTTCTGAGCCTTTGGGACTCTCCTGGATGGTGGCGTTGGATCAGCCCAGTTGGCTTTTCGAGTTGGAACTGCTGAGAGGGATTCGCGTCCATCCTGACCGCCAGGCCAGAAGGCTCCCTTACGGGTGCTAACACGTTCGTTGGCAAGATGTGTTTCGACGGAACGGTCCTTGCAGCTGCTCTGTGGACTATGACTTCGGGATTGAATAATGTATCTAAAGGAACTGGACAGTCAGGAGATGAAGCTGCGTGCAACGCTGTTCTGCTCAGTGACTGTCAAACAGCTCTCGAACAAAGGGTTATTGGCTTGAACCAACTGTCCTTTTCACTCAAAGTGTGACCTATTTCCCTACAATGAACAGAAAATAAAACTGTTTGACAATTCCGAGCCAACACCAAGAAAAAACGAACCATTCCCTCGACTGCTGGCCTCCATCGTTCACGTTGCACGGTCACTAAATGCAAACGACAAAAGATGGCTTGGATTTTTTCATGAGCGAAATTATGGGTGGTAGAGGAATTGTTTATTACGTTGCACCTTCTATCCCCCCTCCCCTCCAGATACATTAAATCAACGCCTTGTCTTTCCACACACTAACTGCGTCTGGTGCTTCGGTGGCCAGGAGTGTCGTGACCCAGGGAAATAGCCTACACAGCGCTGTAGAGCTTTGCCTCTAGCCCGAGTTAGACGTGGAGTCTCCAGGGATTTTCTCGCTGTCTCTGAACATGGCAGGCGATTTCTTCTGAGACTCGGAATCGGTCTTTTAGAATTTTCTCGCTGCTGTCTCCCTTCCAGGAGCACACTCGCTGCTTTGCACAGACACGTTTAAAAATGAAAGTCCCTCGGATGTTGGCAGCAGGCTTTGAAACCAGTCCTGTCGACCAGAGTAGCAGCCTCCCAGCTGTAAATATGGATTCGTAACTCAAGGCTCTGTCTCGTTTTATCACTGAGGAAATTAATGATGCCGTTTCATACAGTGATAAAACACAAGTACTTTCGATCTTCTGCAAATGGTTCTCACAGTGTTTTGTGGACAAGTGATCGCTAATTGGAATAGCCGGAGAGACGTGATTTGAGGCGCTCCGAGGACCAATCTCAAAATATTTTTTTTTTTTTTTCACGCCTGTGGGAGAGGGAAAGGAACATGGCTTAGTCTGTTTGCTGCTTTTGCGTTGCGTTTCCCCCATCTGGCCTACAGACCTAATTCCAACTGGAGATCTCGCTGGATGAAATTCGATATTCGTGATTTAAATACCTTTCGGTGTGGGACGATTTAACAATTGCAGCAGTTAAAAAAAGAAAGAAAAATAGCCCCAACCCTTGCCCACTATCTGTGAAACCCATATGGAACGCGGAGAAAGAGAACATGCTACACGCACACAAATCCTACCCATTGTCTTTTAACACTTGCATACACACTCATACACGTAAACACACGGGAAGATGGGGGAGGGGACAGAGTGGCGAGAGACAGACACGGATATAGACCGACAAGAGTCATTGCGAGTCAAGTTAAAGCTTTCTCCGCCCCCATCCATAAGTACCCCCTCCCGTGCTAATTGATTCCAAACAAAGCAAGCCAATCAAGAGATGCATGATTATATTCAGGCCGAGGGAGACGAGAAGCACGTATTTTTTAATTGATTTATTTATTTGGAGGGCATTAATTCTCGGTCTGAGGCTGATTTTCAAACCGTTTGCAAAGCGCGGCTCCATTGTTCGCCGGGAGCGCAGGCCCCGCCTCCTGCTTTGTGTGCGGCGCACGGATTGGCCAGCGCGCGCGGGGGCCGCGTCAGCGCCCGCGAGCCCATTCATCTGTGCACTTGGGCGTTGGACCCCGCATCTTATTAGCAACCAGGGAGATTTCTCCATTTTCCTCTTGTCTACAGTGCGGCTACAAATCTGGGATTTTTTTTTTATTACTTCTTTTTTTTTTAAACTACACTTGGGCTCCTTTATTGTGCTCGACTTTTCCACCTTTTTCCCTCCCTCCTGCGCTGCTGCTTTTTGATCTCTTCGACTAAAATTTTTTTATCCGGAGTGTATTTAATCGGGTCTCTTCTGTCCTCCTCGCCACCCCACCCCCTCCCTCCGGTGTGTGTGCCGCCGCCGCTGTCGCTGCCGCCGCCGCTGCTCGCCCCGTCGTTCCACCAACCCAAGGCTCTTTGTTTCCTCTCTTGGATCTGTTGAGTTTCTTTGTTGGAGAAGCCAGCATGGGTGCCCAGTTCTCCAAGACCGCAGCGAAGGGAGAAGCCGCCGCGGAGAGGCCCGGGGAGGCGGCTGTGGCCTCGTCGCCTTCGAAAGCAAATGGGCAGGTAAATTCTGGCTGTGGCTCTGGGCATTTCTCGGGTGTCTCTCTCTCATCTGGACGCCTCTCCTTCCCGCTGGTCGCGCCCGAGGCGCGTTCCGGGCAGAGGACCGTGGCCAGATCCTAGACTGAAAGTTGAATGGGGGGACTGATAACCTAAATTGTCAATTTTTCATAGTTAGGGCACTCCCCACCCCCCCCCACCCCCAAAGGAGTGGTTCCTAAGGATCCTGGAGAATTCTTGAGTAGAGGGGAGGAAGAGTGATAAATCGTCTAAAATGGCGTGGTTTGGAGATTGGCTGAACGTGACTAGCTAGGTGCCCCCCCACGCCCCTTCAGGTTGCATTTGTGTTTGGGGCCACAGCGGTGTTTGGGTGTGTTTATTGTCGAGATTGAGCCGTCTTTGAGATTTCTGGTGTGTGTGTGTGTGTGTGTGTGTGTGTCTGTGTGTGAGCGCGCGTGGATGTGTGTGGGAAGTGGTTGCCAACGCGGGTGGCGTGGAGAAAGGCGAGCGGAGCAGGCTTGTCTTATTGTATCCAGAGGCAGTGTGCCCCTAGGTTCTCGGAAAGGTGGCTGGTTAGAGCCGGGCAGGCAGCTTTTCCAAGTGCCTTGCGATGGGGTCTGTGTTGTAGCTGTGTAATTACACACCCATACGACTTTTCCAATGCTGTCCCTGGCGTGGTGGGAATATACGCACTGGGTTTTTAAGGACCCTTTCCAGTCGGCCAAGAGGGGGCAGTTCTGGTGCCTTGGTCCGCGCTGCTCCTGTGAGTGGCACCTCGGCCACCCTCGAGGCCACCCCAGTGCTGCTGCGACCCAGGCAGAGAGCCACGGTTGGGTGGGCTTAAGAGGTCGGCCATGGCTGGCTGCTTCACAAACACCGGGCACCCACCACGCCTCTTTTCCTAGAGCAAAGGCCCTGTTGCTTTCTCCTACTCCAAATCTACTGGGGCAAGACCGGCTCTGCCAAGAGGCTTTAAACCGTTTTCAAAAAAGAAATGCAAAAGGAGCTGGCGGGCGCGCCCGATTTGCAGGGTTCTGGGCGAGGAGGGTGGGCAGGGGCGCAGGGCCGAGACTGCAGGAATAAAGGGCTTTTCCCCCAGCTCCGCCCGATTCAGCGCCTGGGAGAGGCCCAGCAGCCACCTGAGCTTTGTTTGCGGACTCCGGGGCTGCGCGATCCCGGCTCGGGGGCGCCTCGGCCTGCAGGCAGGGCCCGGCTCGGCAGGGCGGGGCGGGGCGGCCCCGCCCCTGGGCGCCCGCTCCGCTCGGCTCCGCTCCGCTCGGTGCGGTGGAGCCGCAGCGCCCCCTGGCGGCGCCGGGCCCGGGCGGGAGGGATGGGGACCCGGCCGGTGCGCGCCGGGGACCCGGGGCTCGGCCCGCGGCCGCGATCGGATCGGATCGGATCGGAGCCCACGCTGGTCCCGGGCGTGCGTGTGTGTGTGGGCGGGGGAGGCCCCGTGCTGCCCGGCCGCTCCGTGTGACGGTCCCCCGCCTTTTCCTTTTCTCTGCCCCGCAGGAGAACGGCCACGTCAAAGTGAACGGGGACGCGTCGCCCGCGGCCGCCGAGCCGGGCGCCAAGGAGGAGCTGCAGGCCAACGGCAGCGCCCCGGCCGCCGACAAGGAGGAGCCCGCGGGCGGCGGCGCCGCGTCCCCCTCGGCGGCCGACAAGGACGAGGCGGCGGCCGCGGCGGCCCCGAGCCGGGCGCCGCCGACAAGGAGGCCGCCGAGCCCGAGCCCGCCGAGCCCGGCTCCCCCGCCGCCGCCGCCGAGGCCGAGGCCGCGTCCGCCTCCTCCACGTCGTCGCCCAAGGCGGAGGACGGGGCCGCGGCGTCGCCCAGCGGCGAGACCCCGAAAAAAAAGAAGCGCTTCTCCTTCAAGAAGTCCTTCAAGCTGAGCGGCTTCTCCTTCAAGAAGAACAAGAAGGAGGCGGGCGAGGGCGCTGAGGCCGAGGGCGCCGCCGCCGAGGGCGCCAAGGACGAGGCCACGGCAGCGGCGGCCCCCGCGGCGGGCGAGGCGGCCCCGGGGGAGCAGGCGGGCGCCGAGGGCGCGGCGGCGGCGGCGGCCGGGGAGGCCGAGGCGGCGGAGGCCGAGCAGCCCGAGCAGCCGCCGGCGACCCAGGAGCCCCAGGCCGAGGAGGCCTCGCAGGCGGCGGGGGAGAAGGCGGAGGAGGCCGCGCCCGGCGCCGCAGCCGCAGCCGCAGCCGCCACGGCGGGCGACGCGCCCTCCGCCGCCGGCCCCGAGCACGAGGCGCCCGCCGAGGACCCCGCGGCCTCCGCCGGCCCCGCCGCGTCGCCCGAGCCGCAGCCCGAGTGCAGTCCGGAGGCGCCCGCCGCGGCCGCCGAGTAAGCGCGAGCGAGCCTCCCGCGCCGGCCAGAACTCTTCCCCTCGTTTGTTTGTTGGAGTGGTGCCAGGTACTGGTTTTGGAGAACTCGTCTACAACCAGGGATTGATTTTTAAAGATGTCCTTTTTTTCTTTTCTTTTTTAATTTTCACGGTTTTTTTTCCTTAAGCAGCCAATTTTGTTCATTTTTTTTTTTTTAAGTATCCCCCCTCCCCCTTTCCCACAGATTCCCATCTCAAATCATTGCTACCACCATTCCGACAGGTCGAGGACAGTGTAGACAGCTTCCTCCGCCTTCTTTCTTTGTGTTTAATTTTTTTTTTTTTTGCATCAGTATTAATGTTTTTTGCATACTTTGCATCTTTATTAAAAAATGTAAACTTTCTTTGTCAAATCTATGGACGTGCCCATATATGAAGGAGATGGGTGGGTCAAAAAGAAATATCAAATGAAGTGACAGGGGCCACTATGGGAAATTGGAGCAGTGTATAACATTGCCAAGATAATATGCCACTAGAAATGATGGTGTAAAGGCTTAGTTTTTTTTTTTTTTTTTTTTTTTTTTTTTTTATTTTTTAAAGAAAAGTTATTACGATGTATTTTGTGAGGCAGGTTTACAACACTACAAGTTTTGAATAAGAAGGAAAGAGGAAAAAATAAATAAAAACATCAATACCCAGATTTAAAAAGAAAAAAAAGATCATATAGTCTTAGGAGTTCATCTAAATCATAGGAACTTCTCGCTTATCTCCTGTTAGCTGTACCAGTCAGTGATTAAGTAGAATTACAAGTTGTATAGGCTTTATTGTTTATTGCTGGTTTATGACCTTAATAAAGTGTAATTATGTATTACCAGCAGGGTGTTTTTAACTGTGACTATTGTATAAAAACAAATCTTGATATCCTTCAGAAGCACATGAAGTTTGCAACTCTCCACCCTGCCCATTTTTGTAAAACTGCAGTCATCCTGGACCTTTTAAACACAAATTTTAAACTCAACCAAGCTGTGATAAGTGGAATGGTTACTGTTTATACTGTGGTATGTTTTTGATTACAGCAGACAATGCTTTCTTTTCCAGTTGTCTTTGAGAATAAAAGAAAAACAAATCTTCAGATGCAATGGTTTTGTGTAGCATCTTGTCTATCGTGTTTTGTAAATACTGGAGGAGCTTTGACCAATTTGACGTAGAGCTGGAATGTAACTTTGCTTACAAACATTGCTATTCAACTCCTGCTTAAGGTGTTCTAATTTTCTGTGAGCACACTAAGAGCAAAAAAATAAATGTGAATAAAATGTACAAATTTGTGGTGTTTTTTTATGTTCTGAGGCTGACTTCTAGGTTAATTTTTAGGAAGACCTTGCATGCCATCAGAAGTACATTTGGTTGTGGTTTCTTATATGACCTTTTCAAGCTCTGAAGTTCACAAATCAGTGTCAGATTACTTATGTAGGAAGGTCTTGTACGTGTGTCGATTGTTACCATTTATCTGCTTTTAGTTTGCATTTAAAAATTGAAAATTACTTTTACTGTAGTTATTTTATAGCATGCCAGATGAAGTCACTTAAGACAAATGTGGCTCGACCCTAAGACTATTTAAAATGTCTTATGAGACCATTTTATAATCCATTTTCTTGTCATGCAGGTCCAGAAATTTAAATTTTATAACCAATAAGAGTGTTGACTTCAGGCTGCACATAAGTCATGAAAAGATGGACAGACATGTTTACATGTTGGTGGTATATAGCCTGCTAGTATAAGGCTTAGCATTTGGCTAATTTCTAAAACATTGCTTAAATGTTGTGCTACACTTTAAGAAAATAGGTTTCTATATGGAATTAATGGTGTTGAATGGACAGCATTGTCGGTTTATGGACCATTCGCAGAACTGCAAACTCTTTTTTTTTAATCGAAGTGTTGGCATCTTGTTATTCAAAAGGAAAGATGCTTCTTTATATATTAATTCTTACTAGTTTACTTTCTCCTAACTGGATGTTTTTACTGGACCCTAAACTGATTGAGTTTATGGCCATTGCTGTATTAAATGCAAAGTAGTCCACCTGTTGTGCTGTTGTTGAACAGGGTGTGGTTCATGCTGAACCACACCTGTGACAGCACCTCAAGATTACATCGTATTAATAAAGAATAATAGCTTAGCTTTTCGATAATGCTGTAATTGAAATAATGGATCAAAATTAATGGTTTCTTTTCTTTCTAAACACCCTCCCCACTAATGCAACCAAGTAACATTTGGAAAGAGGAAACTTGATCCTGATTTTGGAAGATCGAAGTCAAACCTGGTAACCAAAGGACTGATTTGTGGGTCTTTCCCACTTTAACCAACTTGTTTGAAAATCCCTAGTTGGCCAAGTATGGTGCCTGGTGTGTAGTAGGACTCAACTGAAATGGGTTTTGAAAAGTAACTCCTAAAGTGAGTAATTGAAAATACTGTTTAGAAAATGATTCTATATTGCTGGGTTTGTTCTTTTATCAGCTCGGGTTATTAAGATGCATTATTTTGATTTTAATCACTGCCTAAGACACTCTGGGTGGTATCGGTGGAGTGGCGGATTTTCCTCCAAGTGACTAAATACAATTTGACATACTTTTCATCCAAAGTTTTGTACATCCTGTTGTTTTCTAATGGAAAAAAAAAATGTTAATATGGCTTTTTTGTACTACTAAAAATAGCTTTGAGATTAAGGAAAATAAATAACTCTTGTACAGTTCAGTATCGTGTTATTAAGTCTGTATTGGCAGTGTGTACAGTGGCATTTGCTGTGGTTATAAAACACTCACCCTGGATTATCATAATCATTTGATCCAATTCCTATTGCTTGTAAAATAAAGTTTTACCAACTGATATAATTCAGCCTACTAAATAGGGTGTTTTACACATTTTATTTTTAATTCATTTAGAGAAAAAAGTGTAAATGTTTAGGATTTAGAAGAGACATGCTTATTCACATATGGATGTAAATTTCACAAAACTTTGATGATGAGGTAAGGGGTTAGGGCACAGTGCTTTCTGAACTGCTGTGTTAACTTAGTTCCTTGAGACAGGCTCTTGATGTGACTCTGGCTAGTCTTGAACTGGCAACCCTGCCTGTGCTGGGATTACAGGAGTGTAACACTATGCACAGCTGAATCCGCTTTGAATAGATCCCTTAGGAGTTGGGAGGAGTGGGGTAGATAGCTCAATAAAGCTGTACTTTGAACATGTAAAAATTGGTTAAATAACTTGGCTGTTAGAGTGGACCTTTTGAACCAGTCATTCACTACAAATCGAACTTCACCTCACCCACCCCCTACTTCCCAGCCAAGCAGTGGAACTCAAAGCAAGGTGTAGTGAACAGAACTTAAACCCACAGATCTTCCAGTTCTGGGAATTTCAGTTGGAGTGCTTGAAATTATGCCCAAGAACGTTATTCTGAAAATAAGAAGTAAAACGATTACGTGTGAATTTCAATAGACTTTTGCTTAAATGCTTAAAAATAAAAGTATTAAGGGTATAATTTCTTCAAACCAATGGGCTTACCCTTTCGCTCTTGCATTTTACCTTTATTCTAGTTACAGGAAAAGCAGGAATCTTAAGATCAACTTCCACTACTCTGTGCTTGTGGGAATTTTGTTGGTTTAGTTGTAGGGAGGTCAGGACAGAAGTGGAGCAAATTTTGTCTACAGTTTCTTCAGCCCCAGAGCCTTTTTGAAATCCTCTTTCCAGGACAGGTTGGAAGCATTTCATTGTTTATAATTATGACTCTTGTAATCCAAATGGCAATTCCTGGTTTTATCTGCCTAATGAACTGAGAGACAGTGAATTTCCCGGAAACTGCTTTCCCTACAGAGTGGAAGAGTTAGCATCATTTTGGAAACTATTCTAGATGATAGCCATTTTTATGAAGAAGTTTTAAAAACATTTTGAATTTTAGAAGCATCTAATCAATGAATACATTCAGGACTCCCAAAGCAAAATCTCATATCTGTTTCATTTTGTTGTTTGGGGGTTTTTGTTTGCTTGCTTTGTTTTTCAAGACAGAATTTCTGTGTGTAGCCCTGGCAGTTTTAGAACTTGCTCTGTGGACCAGGGTGGCCTTGAACTCACAGAGATCCACTGCCTCCCAAGTGCTGGGATTAAAGGCTTATAGGCTTATACCAGCGCTACTGCATATTTTAACTACTTTTCACTTTAGAGAAGTATTTACACTGTGAACTTTATGACTCTGTACTGGAGATGTAAAAAAACCCACTTCCACACATGTTTATTGAGACCTCAGTGTTCAAAAGCAAAATGGTGAACCCTGTATGGAATTTGATGGTAATTATATGTTCCAACTCCACATTACACTGATAACAGCCTTTAAGTATCCCAATATGAACAATCCATATAATCATTTTGTTTCTGTCCTTGAGAGGCTAAATACATAGCAAAATGGCATGGTATGCTTCTGGATATACAAGGAAAAAGAAAGAAAATCATCTTTATAGGAAACAATTTCAGTCTGAAGGATTCTATTGGAAGATTATGTTGCTGAAGCAACTAAGTTAGCATTTGTATTAACCACATTTTACTTAGCCATGCTGGGCCATGTTGAGCTTGTTCAAGAGACCTTGAGCCTCGACAGGTCTTCCTAGTGACAGGGCAGTACCGATTGACCAGTATAGTTATTACTCTTTTTACCAGAACTCTGTATCCTCAGATGGACTGCAGGGATGCCACTGCACTGGGCTTTTGACTTTTTTTTTTTGGTGTTTTGAGACAGGGTTTCTCTGTGTAGCTTTGGAAACTGCCCTGGTTCTCGATCTATAGACTAGGCTGCCCTCGAACTCACAGAGATCTGCCTACCTCTTCTTCCCTCCCCAGTGCTGGGATTAAAGACTTGCGCCATTACCACTTGGCTACCTTTTTAAATGGCTAGTAGAACCTTGCTTGACTCCCTACTCTTCTGTTCACATTGAGCTTCCTTCTGTTTATCCACTCCTCCCCCCCCCCCAAAGGAAATCCAGTCAGCACAGTGTGCCAATTTGAAACAAAGTACCTCAGTGGTAATATGTGATCTGTAAAATCACTGGGAGTCATGAGTTTACGTGCCACAGATTATTTGCTGAAGTCAACTAGAATTAGACTGAGATTTAAATGCTCTCTTCTTTCTATCATTCGCTCTTTTTTGAGATGAGGGCTTTGTTCTGTAACCCAGTCTCATCCCAGACCTACAGTTCTCCATTAGGCTCCTGGAAACTCAGTTTAATTATTTTCCCCATTGTAATGCTATAAGCTTATTTTTAAAACTGACATTTTTATTTATTTATTTTTGATTTTTTTAGGTGGGGTTTCCTCTATGTGTCTCTGGCTGTCCTGGAACTCACTTTGTAGACCATGCTTGCCTGTCTCTGTCTCCCTAGCGCTGGGATTAAAAGCAGGCACCACCAATCCCCAGCTTAAAACTGACATCATCATCATCATCATCATCATCATTGTTACTACCAGATTGCTAAGCAGTTCCCAATGGTTCCATGATTAGTCTTGGAAAGGATACAGATGAGCTAACTTGGAGAGAGTAAGGTTTTCTGGTCTTCGGGTTTTGAACCATTGTTCTGCCTAATAAGGAGTTAACCTTAGTATACAAGGGTTCTGCATGCAAAGACTCAACAAACTGGATCTCAAATTAGGAAATGCTTATGTTTGGAACATGTGTAGACATTTTTCTTTACTCCTTAGATAATTCAGTGTAACAAAGCATTTATACTGTACCAGGTATTACAAGTAATTTACAGAATTATTTTCAGGGGTAATATGTGTAGATTATATGCAGGTGTTTTCTATAAGAGACTTGAGTATACTTAGATTTTTATTATTTGCAGGAGTTGAGGCAATTTACGTATAAAATTAGTTAGCATTTGTGTGTGTGTGTGAGAGAGAGAGAGAGTGTGTGAAGAGTGTGCGCACGTGTGTGTTCAATGTGATGCGGAGGAGTCTTCCATGATATAATTTCAGATAAATGAAAATAAGATGCATGGCATTTTTCTTACCCTTTAATTACTAGAGTATAATTATATCTAAATGTTACCCAGATCCATCAACGTAATACCTTCTTGTGTGTACTGAGGAAAATGGAATGTACAAGCTTTGGGAGCAATCCCTAGCCTCTGGAGACATGTGTTAGGGTGTGGAGAAGCAGCAGACTTGTTGGTCAACAGGCAGTACTGCTGGCCTGGCAAAATGTTAAAACCTTCACGGTGAAACCTGGGCACAGGCATTGGCAGCATTTGAAATGACTGAGAACATTCTAGAACCTGGTGTCTTCTATAGCAGGATTAACTGATGGTGCTGTCTAAGAAAGTTTGGGGAGGCTGAGTTCAAATGGCCGAGAGACTGCATATCTTTCTAAATAAAATACCAACCAAGTGATATATTTTAATGTTTTTAATAAAGTGCTGAGCATCGAATGAGGCAATAGATAGTTTAAGGTAACAATTTGAAGGAGTTCAAGACATCTGGTAAGATTATAGAGAAATAAACTTATGGGATTAATCAGGCTATATTATAAAATATTAAGTGGAAAATTAATAATGTGTCATTTTCCTCTAGTCTTTGAGACATCTAGTTCATTAAGTTATAACAGTACAAAAATATGTTAAATGCCTCCTGATGTTTCAGATTTTTTGTTACATTTCATTTATTTGTGTGCATGTGTGTAACACATGAATGGTAGACCATGTGTGTGGAGGTCAGAGCTTGTGGGAAGCATTTTTCTCCTTCCGTCATGTATGTCTTGGGGCTAAAACTCAGTTACCCCAAAGTGCCTTTGCCTCTGAGCCATCTCACTGGCCCACCTCTTGGCTATTTTACCAGGTATAAGTTACTGTCAGGTTACATAGACACGAATTTCATCCCCAGTCCTCTTTTGTCTTCCATTATATTTTTGAGACAATGTTTCTGCCAAAATGCCCAGGCTGGCCTCAGATGCTTCATTTTCCTGCCTCAGCCCTTGGAGTAGCTGGGTTAAAGGAAGTATGTATCACTGTCCCTCCCTTGAACCTTTAAAAATGAGAACCAGTTCAATAATTTAAAAGTAGTGTTAGCATGCATGTGTACTTGTGGGGTGTGTGTGTGTGTGTGTGTGCGTGTGTGTGTGTGTGTGTGTGTGCGTGTGTGTGTGTGTGTGCGTGTGTGTGTGCGTGCGTGTGTGTGTGAGTGATGAAGTTGTTTTGCTTTGCTTTCTGAAGTAGTCTTAGGTAGGTCAGGCTGGCCTCAAACTTTATATGTAGCTGAAGAGTGACCCTAGACTTCTGATCCTGTCTCCACCTCCTGAGTGCTAGGATGATGGGTTTGTACAACCGTTGTCAGTTGAGGTGACACTGGAGATTGACTCCAGGATTTGTGGATGCTAGGCAAGCATTCTACCAACTGTGCTACAGCCCTAGTGTTTTGAGTCAGGGTCTCACTCCATAGCCCAAGTTGATCTACTCAGTACTGGGATTAAGGCCTAAACCACTATGCCTAGCATTTATAACTTTGTCTAGAAATGAAATGCAAATTTACTTAAATGCAAAATATGACACTAACTAGGATTTCTTTCTGAAAATATTTGCTATGACTACCTCTGGAAAAATTACATGTTTTAGCATTCTGCCACATCCAAAAAAGATTATTCCCATTCTTAGTGATGAAGAACTTAATGATACAATCAGTATAAGTATCTAACTATACTAATGTTACTGGGTCAGAGT